GGAGAATTAGTGAGCTCTAAGGTATCTGAAAAGAAAGGGGAGCATGTTACTGGTCTTCAAAAATTACACGGGTAAAGGAAGAGAAAGAGTGAACCTGTCATCTACCATCTGGTAAGCCTAACTTCAGACTGCAGTAATATAGTGGAAAAAATATTAAAAGGTAAAAATCTTAAGCACTTAGGGGAGAATGGATCCACAACCAATAAACAGCATGGATTTATAAGGAAGGGAAGGAAGGCACGCAAAAGTATTTTTTTTCTTCCTATAATTGCAAAGTGGTGACTGAAGGGAATACAGTAGGTATAATATACAGGCCTACTAACATATAGATTTTTATCTATGAGTTTCAGTAAATTAAATAGGATCTAGCAGTGCGACCAAAAAAAAAAATTCAATGTAATTTTTGGGCTTCTAACACAGAGGCATCGTGTCATGTACCTGGGAAGTGATAGATGTCTCTCTGAGTATATAATACTGATGAGATAGCACCTCGACTACTGCTTTCAGATTTAAGTACTTTCAGTACCAATAAAAGTGAACTGGATGGAGTTCAAGAAGCATGGAAGGAAAAGTAAAGGCCTACAGAAACTGTTTGACAATGAAATATTAACTGAAAATAGACATCTATAGCCTGGTCAAACAAGGATGGGAAGAATAAGCTCAGTGCCATGTTCCTTACAGTGGGAAGTTTCCAGTAGAAAAAAAATAGGGTCAGGAGTGAATGTGAAAGCTGGACAGGGAGTAAATATTAAGTGTACATGGCCAGAGCTCTGGGCTGTGCTCTTTCTGAGACCCACTCAGACATTTCTTGGGGTGTGTTTGAAAGGAGTGGAAAGAATGAGAACTTACTCTGAGAGCTGGAAACAAGAACAGAGCACTCAGACAGAGCTACGTGAGGCAGAGTTCAGGCTGAAGTAGAAAAATAAACATAACCAGCAGCTCTGTCAATCTAGGGAATGGGTTGCTAAGGAGAGCTACAGCAGTAACCCTGGTTTGGCCAAAGCAGAAGTGAACGCACATGGGGAACCATATGCATGAGGAGAAAAATGGTTTGGAGGGCCAAAAGAGGCTTCTCTGGGGACAGGTCAGAAAGGAAGTCTTTCTCCACAGCCTTGGTAAGTTTGTCACTACCTATACATTCTGTGTTGCCTCTGAAACTGGGACAGCATCAGGTTCTTCCATCCTTAATGTGTTTCAAGTACATATAGTTACTAGTGTGTCTATATAATTGAATAGATAACACCTACTGAGAACCTACTGACGCTTGTCCAAGCACAGACATCAATCCACCGGCTTCAGCTCCAAAAGGGACACCAAAGGAATTATTAATCTCCCCATGCCAAAACATGTTCACATTTCCATGTAATTTCTTTTTACATTTTCATGTAGTTTTCAATGGCTCCAGTCCCACATCGGTCTTTTCCCTCCACCGTCGCCACCAGCCCGGCCGCCTCCGAGGCGGGCCATGCAATTCTCCCGCTTCCCAGGAGATGGTGCTGTGGATTTTGGATCGGGAGCGCAGCGGCCGGGGCCGGGGCTGGGGCCGGTAGGTCCCCGCGGGGCCCGAAGGGGACCCACAAGACACCCAGCCGGACTCCGTGGGGATCCTCAGGTGCCCCTGACCTCTCTGCAGTCCTCCAGAATTTCCTTCCCATCTCCAGCAGTCCCTCCAGAGGAGCAGGGGCCGGGGTGTCGGGGTAGCATCCCTCATCCCAAGAAGCCTCAACTCCGCTGCGCTGTGAGTCAAGTCCACCAGCGCCGTTTTTCTCCTCCTCTTAAGGACCTGAAATGAAGGGAGTTTTGCAGTCCCTCGCCACACAAATATCCCCCCCCCATCCCGGCTGCACACCCGCACCCGCCACCGCTACCCCTGGCGCCGGGAAGAAGGATGCTGTGTCGGGCGTCCCGAGGGCTGAGAGCATTTCCCCCTTCTCCTCCCCTGCAGGCCTCTTCCCCGCTGCCCCGAGTCCCCGGCGGGCTGCCGGGCCCCTGACTGCTGCTGGGAACAGCTCCCAGGCTGGGAGTTCAGCGGCCTCTGAGGCTGCCTCTCGGTAGACAGGCATCTCTGAGGATGTTTGCGCTGGAAGAGAATGCAATAGGGGCGTAGTTTTGTTTAATTTTAACTGTATTTTCTTCACCTTGAATTTACATAAAGTTTGTCTCACGGGGAAGACTGCACAGTAGCAGTTGCGGCGAACGAAAGCGCTCTCCGACGCTTGACTTAAAAGCTGGAAAAACCGGGCAGCCCCTGCAGCTGGGGCTGTCCCCTCTGCATGGGGTGCTCGGCGCTCGGCTCTGCTCTCCCTCTGGCTCGGCGTGCCTGAGGCAGGACAGACTTGGGACTGAGCCACTAGAAGAAAGACTGGGAAGTTATGGGAGATCCCAAGCCCTCCGCTTGCTGCGGGGCAGTCCTGCGGCAGCGGGCACACGTCGTGCCTCTGTCCAGAGCTGGCAGGGAGAGGCTGACTTCACCTGACTAAAATCTGTCTGCATTCAGCTCCAGGGCGTCTTAAGGGAAAATCTGGGAAGTGTCTTTAATCTCGGAGGCTTTTCAGCAAATTCAGCCCTGGAGAGAGGGAAAGGGAGGTTTAACTTCTCTCACAGGTGGGAAGCAGAACAAAATAACTCTCGAACAGATCTTGCCAAAGATCTTGCCTCGGAAAATCAGCAATCGCCGTGCTGTCCGCTGTCATCTGTATCCTGGGACTTCCAGCGTCATTTCCCCCCTTCCCCTGCCTCCCGCACCGCACGGGACGGCCTGTGCCCCGCCGCTCACTGCGGAGCCTGGAGGATGCTCCGAGCCGGCGCAGTCCTTCTGCAGCTCGGCTCCGGGCTGCTCATTTCCCGAAATAATGACCCAAGTGCGGAGGAGCCGGTGGTGGAGGGCTGCGGTACAATTAAACCAGGTAATGAGACGCTGGGCAGATGTGTTTTCATTGCCCTGTAAGATAAACGCAGTGTTAAATGCCTGACAACTTCCCAGAAGCAATCAGCAAAAGTTTACGAGTGCATAAACCTCAAAGACCATTCCTCGGTATTTTTATAAGCCCCGCATTTAAAGCGCCTATAAATTCCTCTGCCTGCTTCCAAACTAAAGTTCTCGTAGACTATTAAACGGGCACTTCTTCGGGAAGGGGGGGAGAGATAGATCACAACAGGCGGGTCCGGGGGAGGCAAGAGGGGTTCTCTTTTACTCTACTCCACTTTGCTCTCCCTACGCCCTCCCACACCCCATACAAGCTAAAGTTTGTAAGAAAGTTGGCGTCATTAGAGCACAAGCCACAGACGCCAAGATGACTGGGATACATCCATGTCTCAAAAACAGAGGGCAGACCCAGAAAGAAAGGGAAAGGAGAGGGTGAACAGAAAAGGAAAAGCGAGGTGGTTGAAAGGACGGGCTGAAGCAGGGATAAGCATGCCGACTGACCGGTGGACAGGGAGAACAGGAAAGGCTTTGACGAAGAGAGAAATATCAGACGCAGGGGGCAAACCTCAGCGAACGCAGCCGAAGACGAGAGAAGGTTGCCGCGGAGGTCGCCGTGATGCCCTTGTCCCCCCTCCCCGACGACGCGGCCTGGCAGCACCCCTCGCCCTTCGGAGTAACCGCGGCGGCCGCAGTCTCGGGGCAACCAGCCCCGCTGCCCGCGGAGCGGCAGCGTACGCCGTCCCCAAAGTTGCGCATAAAAGCAGGGGAGGTAGAACTGCTGAACCCACAGATCAGTGGGAGAGATCGAGCCGGAGACCTCTGTCTTCGAAGAAATAAGCTGAACGGAATGAAATGTTCCCACTAGCCATCAAATTATAATAATAGTATTCGTCATCCTTAAGTGACCACATGAGTTTTACAAGTTGGATATTAAACAGACTAAACAATAATAATAAAACCCCCAACCCTCTGTTGAGAATATAAAGCACTTTTTTATGATCCCGGGGAAAATGAAGTTGCTAATTGAAAAACAATAAACTTAAAATGCCTTTGGATTAATAATGATAGAGGTTAACGGTGGCATCCATCCCTTGGAAAGGGGGAGGGGAGCGAGGCGCGAGGCGACTGTGCGCTTGGACGGCGACCAGGGATAAGCGCAGCAGCCAAATGGGGCTGGGAGGCGAGACCCCCTCCCCCCCCTCTTCGGAGGGCTCGGCTTGTATGTTCGCCTCTGATCCGGAGACACGAGGTGAGGAAGGTCTGTATTGTAGTCATGTCCTGGCTAGATGAAATCTCAGTCAATTACTCTGAAATCTGCAGCTTGGCTTCTTTTCATTCTTTCCAGGTGAAAATTCAAACGTTTTCTGTTGTCGCCTGGCCCTTTCTTTCCTGAAACAAGGCACCCAACTGTTCTGATATTACCATTCAAAAACGGGTTCTGTGGCAAACCTCATTTGTGAATCTATTACAGAGATTAATAGATTATTTCTCCTTTTTCAACTAATTCTCAGTGGGGAAATTTAACCATATGGTAAGGAGAGAATTAGAATTTCATCACATTAGAGCAAAATGTAATGAAAAGAGTCCAACACCTGGGGCCAACTCCGAAAGACACAATTAAAAGGTTTTTAATGAAACCAGAGAAACCAAAAAATTTCATAGCCTTCAGTAATCCTGCCACATAAGAATGATTTGGAAGTGTTGGGAAATATTGTTTTTACTGATGTCATTAGAATGAAAACCTGCCACTAAATACTCTGAGTGCTAACAGTAAGGAGAGACCGAGATGCTCGCCTCAAGCATCAGAGGATCAGTGGGACAAAATTCAGACCGACTCTAGGGTTTCCAGTGCATCTTCTGGGAGAGCGCAGAGGAGCGTGTGCCCGGCTCAGAGGAGAAGCCCCGGGAGTGGAGCAGAGGGCCAGGGTAACCGGATAGCTGGGGTCGCCTCGCCCTGACACCGTCGGCGGCATCCCGACGTTGGGAAGAAGAATAGGGTGCTCCCGCCGAGCTGGGCTCGCCGGAGGGAGGCAGGAGGGCACGGAGCCGCAAAGAGTTGGTCAGTCACAATTAAAAATAAATTTAAAAAAAGTTTGGTGGGTTTTGCCCTTTCTCTCCCCGCCCTCTCTCCTCCCCAGATCCGTTCATTTTCAAGGTAACTGATGGGGCTTTATGTTTTTTATAGGGACACGGGGGATAATCACTCGCAAGCAGCAATCTGCTACTTGGAAAGGGATAAGGAAAGGAGGAGGGGAACCTCCCCGTAGTTTGGTCTCCGTTTGGTGGAGGGGGGGTGGAAGGGAGTGGGGAAGAGGGAAGACTGGGGACCACCCGCCTCCCAGGGAAGCAAAGTGGACTTTGGCGGTAGGCAGAAGTGGGCACGACGGCTGGGCTTGCTCCTGGGGGTTTAATTTATTTTTTTATTTCCCAGGCGATGCTTTTCGGAAAGACGGGTGGGGGTGGGAGGGAGCTATAAGTTAATGTAAATGCAGGGGGTGGGTGGGCTGGGGGGAGAGGGTGTCACTTCTGACTCCACGGCTAAGTTAGCAGAAGTCTGCTGGCAGCACTCGGAAGGAGAAGTGTTGAAGTGGGCTTTTCTGCAGTGCAGGACTGTAATTTGCTGAAGGAGGCAAAGAACATCCTTCGATCTAAGTAGGGCTTTTAGTGTGCTCATTGATGAGTGAAAGTCGCCACACATGTCAAGCTAAAGGCAGTTGTTGGGTTACTAACAGGACACAACGTCTTGCAAACATATGCGTTAAGCTGTGTATACAGATGGCAGGGAGAATAATGGAGCAGGCGCCTCTTATAAAGCTCTAGCTGCTGCCTGTCTTCAGACCTGGGAAAAGAAACTATTCAGACTCAGGGCCAGATAGTGCCTGGGATTGTTTGTTACCGTTTTAATCCTATTAATTAAAACGTTAACCTGATTGGGTAGAAAGCTCTGTCCCAACAGGCGAGTCTTCTTCATAATAACCTACTCTCAGAGATAATGATGTAAAAGACTCCCCCGTCTGCGGCGGCTGCTGGTTGATGGGTCCGGAAATCTCTTGAAGGTGAATCCAAGCAAGATAAACGGTGGAAGCGGCTCCACTGGCAGCGCACAATGCCCCAGCGCGGCGCCTGCTGAGGGCGAGCCGGAGCCACAGCCACAACCCGAGTCACAGCCGGAGCCACAGCCCGAGCCGGAGCCGCCGGAGCCGCAGCCGAAACCACCGGAGCCGCAGTCCGAGCCGCCGCCGGAGCCAGAGAAGGGGCAGCCGCGGCGCCGGGTACGGCGCAGCCCCGGCGGGAGCCAGGAGACGATTTCTGCCAGCGGGACGCCGGGGAGCCGCCTGCCGCGGCGCGGAGCCTTGGAGGAGCGGGCCGGGAGTTGAGGGGGGCGGAGGAGGCGGAGGCGAGCGGGGCGCCGATGGAGCGGGCGCTGGGTCTGCCCGCAGAAGAGGACCTCTTCCACAAGAGCCTCGCCGCCTCGGCCAAGCGCATGGAGTCCGCCTTCCGCTCACCCCCGGGGCTCGACCTCTCCCACCCCCGCGACCGCCAGCCCTCGCCGCTCGCCTGCTACGAGGCGTCGGAGCCCGAGGCGCTGCTGCAGCCCGGCGTCGGCGGCGATCCGCTGGCGCTACCGCCGGGCTCCGTCTGCGTCAAGTACGGGGAGAGCGCCAGCCGCAGCTCGGTGGCCGAGAGCAGCGGCGGCGAGCAGAGCCCCGACGACGACAGCGACGGCCGCTGCGAGCTGGTGCTGCGCGGCGCCGGGGGGGACCCGCGCGTCGCCTCGCCGGCGGCGGGCGGCGGAGGAGGGGGGGGCGGGGGGCTGAAGGCGGCCGAGGGCAGCTGCTCCAACACCCACGGGCACGGCGGCAGCAAGAAGTCCAAGGAGCAGAAGGCGCTGCGGCTCAACATCAACGCGCGGGAGCGGCGGCGGATGCACGACCTGAACGACGCGCTGGACGAGCTGCGGGCGGTCATCCCCTACGCGCACAGCCCCTCGGTGCGGAAGCTCTCCAAGATCGCCACGCTCCTCCTGGCCAAGAACTACATCCTGATGCAGGCGCAGGCCCTGGAGGAGATGCGGCGCCTGGTGGCTTATCTCAACCAGGGCCAGGCCATCTCGGCCGCCTCCCTGCCCAGCTCCGCCGCGGCGGCGGCGGCAGCGGCGGCGGCGCTGCACCCCGCCCTCGGCGCCTACGAGCAGGCGGCCGGTTACCCCTTCAGCGCCGGGCTGCCCCCCGCCACCTCCTGCCCGGAGAAATGTGCCATCTTCAACAGCGTCTCCTCCAGCCTCTGCAAACAGTGCACGGAGAAGCCTTAAGCGCCGCCGCCGTGGTCGTCCCCCGCCGCCGCCGCGGCCCCGGGAAGCGGCGACTGCCGGCGGCCCGGTCCTGGGCTGGGGGGCGCGGAGGCGGCGGAGGGACTGACCGCTGCCCGGCCCCTGCCGCTCTCCGCCCGGACTCGCCTCGCTCGTCTCCTCGGGTGCCGCCGGGATGGGACCGCGACGGGAGCCAGCGTGCGTGCGGCGGCGGGGAGGGGGCGAGGGGCCGGGGGTGCCGCGGGGAGGAAGGAAGGAAGGCCCGGCCCGGGGAGCGCCGGGGGGTTCGCTGCCCGTCCGGACAAAGGAGAGGCCGGGAAATAGCAGGCCAGGCTGGGAGCTGGGGCTATCGCCGGGGACAAATCAAAGAGGGCACTCGAACATAGATTTTTTTTTTTTAATTAATTATTATTAGCAGTATTATTAATATTATTCTGAGCCAGGAAACAAACAAACTTGAAATGTAAACTTATTATTTAAGTGACTCACAGAAACAAAGAGACTGGACCATTGCTATGGAAGACTTTGTATTTTTTATCGTCTCTAAACTTTGATCCTGTGAAAATGCGCAAAGTTTGGTGAGAGTGATTTAAAATTGAGAGAGTTAAAAAAAAAAAAAAGACAAAAAATAACCGATCAAAACCCCTACTCCGCGTGGCTGAAAGTATCGCATTTTTAAAAGAAATATTTATGTGCACCTTGTTTCTTTCCAGTTTGCAATGATGTATAAACAAGACATGCTATTTATTTGTTATTCTTTAAATGACCCTTCCACGCCAACAATATTTATCATGTGTTAAGGTCACGGGTCTTATGTGCAGTTACTTTAAATGCTTCTAAAATTCTGTTTATGGATTAACTTCAACTGTGTGCCAAGTGTTTAAAACATTTATTTGCCAACAACGTATAACCAGAAATGTTGATGTATCCGAGCTGCTTAGGTTTATGAAAGGTCATCTGGATTTTAAGTTGCATCATCCCTGTATTTAAATTGAGCTTTAATAAATTGCTTCAGTCCAAAAATTAGAGGAAAAGTGTATTCTTAATTGCTCAACCAACTGATTTTTGAAAGGGTATTCTTTGCATTTATAACAGGTAATAGCTATTTACTTTTACAAGGCATCAGAGCAATAGCTGCTACAAGAACACTTGCCAAGCCAGTGTTTTCCCAGGCGCTGTTTTCAAAGGTATAATTTAAACTGCTTTTAATGTGTATGTAAATTATTCTGACTGTGGATGATTATTTAAGTTGAAATACTTTAAAATACTTTAGGCTGATTTACAGAACGCGTGGAATTCTTCTCTTTTCTTTTTCCGTGGGGGTGGGGTGGTTTTCTTTTTTTAAGGAAAAATGAGAGATGAAAAGCAAGAAGTAGCTATTTACCCAAAGTGAGCCTTCAGTTTAGTTTGCATGGCTGGGTGGCTGTCTCTCTGCCATTTGTAAATCAAGATTTTTTTTTTTCTTTTCAAAAACGAGTCCTGCTATTTTCCACTACTTGCAGATAATACAAATTCGGACTGTCAGGTTGGATGGCAAAATAGGAGCCATGATGGATCTGTTGGCAGGTCACGGATGTGTAAAGAGTGATATATATTAAATAGGTCAATCAGATTATGACAGCAATGTACGATCGTTTGTATGTGTATCTATGTCGGAAAGAATCTTTATTAAAATATTTTGAACAAACGCTTTCATTATGCTGTGCTTTGTTAAGCATGTATCTCCAGAATTAAGGAGGTGGAGAGCGGGGGTGGGTAGTTTCCTTTCCTTTGCCTTTCTCTGAATGCGCCCCAGAACCGCCCCCCCCCCCCCCCCCCCCGGCACCCCGCTCCCGGCTCAGGGTATCCCAGGCAGAGGGGCGACAAGTTCCTGCCCGCACTGTGTTTCTCCCGCGCCCGTGGCGGGCCGACCCCGGCGTTGCGGGGCAGCCGTGGGGCAGCGCCGGGCCCTGCCCGCCCGTCCTGCTGCTCCACTCACGCCCTGAACAGTGGGGCTGGATGCGCCCCGGGGTAAGCTGCAGGACCGCCCCCCCCGCCTCCTCCCTAGCCCCCAACTTTTGGATCCGCCCCTCCCTTCATGGACCCTCCGCCCTGCCCCAAACCCGAGGGCAGGGAGAGCGCGCAGCCCCCCAAAGCTGCCCGCCCGGCGTTGTGCCCGGGCCGGGGGTCCCGGCCCTGCAGGTCCCCCCTCCCTCAGGCGGCCCGGGCCGGCGCCGGGTGTCCGCGGAGCCGCCTCTCCCAACGGCAGCACCACAGGCGGGGGAAGAGGATAAATATTTTCTGCTCCACTTCCCATCAAAAAAGATTAATCAGAACCTGTAACTTTTCAGGAAACATAACTGTAAAGTGCCACGGAGCTGTGGGAAGGCAGCCCAGAGAGGGTGGGCAGATCAGCCCCCAGGCGCAAGGAGAAGCGTCTCTCAGCATTTACTAGACAAAGGCTGGGTGCGTCTAATTATGATTATTAAAACAATTTCCATGACGATGTCTAATATTATGTTAATTTGAAAACAACTGTATATGAAAACTGTCGACTATAATACCTAAATTCATTTAATGAAACACATCGTTAAGGCAATTAAACCTCCTGGATGTGATTAAGGAACATAATTACGACACTGTTCTGCGCCATAATTGGGTGTCTTTAATCAAGGGGTAAAGTGATCAGCAACACAGCCATTAGTTTGTATTGTTCTGTCTCTGCTGTCCATCATTCTGATTAGGAATTAACCACCGCCACCAGCTTGGCGTGGTGCGTGCCTGTGTGTGTGTGCGTGTGTGTCCGTGTGAGTGTGTGTTCGTGCATATAACATCGCAGGACACATTTGCTGCAATATTTGTCGCTTAATGTCTTTGGCTACCGAGCGGGCTTTCTTCCCGGGGATGTTCCCCTGGAAGGCGCGGATGCTGCTCGGCTTTGCCCGGCCGTGGGGTGGGGGAAGACAAGCCAGGTCCCAGCAAACTCTTGGAGCAGCCGGGACCTGGGCTGTGGGGAAGGCAGGGGTCTGGGAGAGGCCCACGCTCTGCCTCCTGGCTTCTATGGGCACGGTCCGAAGTGTGCGGGCCGGGCCTGGAATGCTCCCCGCCAGCTCTGGGGAGCGAGAGCGGCCGCTGCCGCCTGTGGCACATGGAGCGATTTTTCCCTTCTCCACTCTCTCGGCTGCCACTGCTTCAGAGCGACGGGACAGCGGAATGAAAACCCTGGCTACTGCTGCCCGACTTTGGGCTCCCTTGCTTCGTCTTCGATTGCTTCGGAGCGGGGCGAGGGGTCCGTGCCAGCTAGAGGTGCTGCCACTCCTGGCTCCACTCTGCACCGAGCATCCTAGCTGGGAAGCGGTGCGAAGCCACTGGGCCAGTCCCTGGGAAGGTCTTGCCAAGGCGAGCGTCGTGTATGTCGGGGCTGAGGGGAGGAGAGAAGCTCCCCCGCCTCCCTTAAATCTTGACAGATGACTTAGCCAGAAATGAACATGTCCCCTTTTAAAAGAGCTTCTTCCTGGCTTCCAACCGCCCTACCGAACTGGGATCTCCCCCAGCCTCACCTAGAGCTCCCTCTGCCCCCGCCGCCCAGCCTGACTCCCTTCCCGGCCCCTTACCCCGGCTCGGAGCCTGAGATTGTCCCAGCATGAGTGACATTGGCTTTCCTAATGTAATGACTTATGAAAGATATAATCATGTGTTAAATTGAATCCTCCGCTTAACTGTTAATGGTGTGCTCTGGGCACATTTACGTATTAGATGCTATGGTAACTAATTACCACTAGAAGAAGGGATAATACACTTTCCAGACTTTGACAAATAATTATGAGTGTTCACATCCCTGCTAGCAGCAGTTGCAGCGGATCTGCTGGAATGAGTAAGTGAATAAATGAATGGGTAAGTGAACTTGTGTGCATGGAGGGGACTAGATAATGAATAGTGGTCAAGTGAGTTTTCTTATTAAAACCTTTAATGAAAATGTGATTTAGGGAGGAAGGGGGGAAAAAAAAGTGCGACGCTGCCTCTAAACGTAATTAAATCGCGTAATATAAACATCAGAAACATAAATAAGTTTGCTTTTAATTAAAACGCAGCAGTCAAAGTAAATTATCCACGTGCTGGGAAACTTTACAGCAATTAACACCTTTTTTTTTTTTTTTTTTTTTTTTTTTTTTTTTTGGTGGTGGTGGCGTCGGGGGGTTGGTTGTTACGGGGTAAAATAGAGGAGCCAGGACTCTGTGACTCTTTCCAGGATCATTTGTAACTATGATTGCACCGCCACTGCCCACAGGCCGGAGGGATCCCGAGGCTGTAAGCAAACGGCGGAACAGGTCCTTATCGGAGCAGGACAAAACTTTGGGGAAGTCGCTCTGGGCTCCGCGCCGGTCCCAGCCCCCGCCGCTCTCCCGCTCTGCGGGGTCGCTGCTGCCCGTCGGGGCCCGTCCGGCACCTGGGAAGGCTCCGGCACTAAAGGAGCCTATCGGAGGCTTAACAGAGGTTCTCCGTGGAGTGTTGCTCTTTGCTGCGGCAGGCGCCGCAGGGGTTAAGACTCTTGTGCCCGCCGCTCCGGGGCCATCCCGCCGGAGCAGGGGCTAAGGTGGGACCTGCTGCCGGGAGCGGGAGCCGGCGTGCCTGTCCCGGCCCCCGGCCCGACTCGGGGCTCCTACCAGCCAAATACGTCGCAGAAGGGACATCTGCTAAATGAGCAAAGAGCTGAAACCAGCCCCATTTCCCCGTGGTCACCCATCAGCTCGGTGTCACCCAGCCCGCCCCCTGCACATCCCCGAAGCGCTCCGGAGGGGAATTTGCTCTGGTTCGGTTGGTTCTCCAGCCTCGGGAAGGGTTAAATCCTTCCCTAAGCCCCTAGTTGCCCTTGTCCTCTCAACCTGATTCAGAGACGTGTAATAAAATAGGAAGCAAATTTATGGTCTGTTTCAAGCACTTTACTGCTGTATTTTTAAATTCGTATATGCACATATAAGAACTATGATCTGTGAATAATTTGAAATGCTATAGGAAAATGATGTATTTTAGATCAAAGATAACCGTTTTCTTACATAATTATCTCGGATTAAAATAAAAAATAAAGATACATTTCGAACAGAGACAAAGCTGAAAATCTAATGACCGCCATAAACTGCTAGACAGCCATAAATTAACGTCTTCATCAAACACTGAAGGGATCAGTGCTTATCTAAATCAACAATTATTTCTTCCGAGAAGTTGCAGAACAGATTGCCCCTCTAATACTGTTTTAAAATCCTCATAATTGAGGATTAGGGGCAAACAATCGCCTTTCCAGAGTAAACCTCCTCTCCACCAGCCGAAGCCCTCCAAACTCACCGAACACCCGGACCGCTTCCCTAGGAACCTCCTCAGGGTCCCGTCCCCTTGTACCACTGCAGCATCCCTGGAAGCTCGGGTTGCTTTTAGGAAGGGGCGGCAGGAGTCTTTCCTCACTCCCCCTCTCCCCTGATTTTGTCGGGGGCCGGTGGGAGCGCAGGAAGCCCAAGCGCCGCCGGGGAGTCCGGCGGGCAGCGGGCAGGCGGGCGAGGGTGCGGGTTCCTGACGCCGCCGCGGGCCGAGGGCATCCCGTAGCAGTGCCATCCCGAAGCGCCGGCATCCCCCCGTGCTTCAACCCCGAGCTCATCTAATGCCCATCCGCTTTTCAGGTTCAAAGCTTTAGCGAGGCGGCACTTCTCCCAGCTGCAGCCACCTGCGATGCTGGTTTTTCGAGAAGCTGCTGTAAAGAATTCATTTTTAGAAAGCAACTGAAAGATACGTTGCAAAGAGAGGCGATTCACTGGCTCACAAGATGGAAATCAGTGAAAGACTTGCTGCCTGTAGGAGGTTAGCTAGCGACTAAACTATTTGGAAGAAAGAGGTATTCGGAAAGATGACCTGATAGGAAAGAAGTCACTGTCAAAAGTCATCACAGGGTGCTTGCTTACTGACTTTTACTCTCCCTGTAGCCAGAACTTAGACTTTTATTCAACTTTGCCGTACTCGTAACTGCTGGTTTTGGGGGAAAAAATCCCAGCCAACACATCAAAATCGGTTTAACAAACCTTTAAAGACAGAATCCTGCAAGGCTTCTAGCAAGAACAGCCGAAGATGAGACTTCTTTTGCTTATTTATTTTGGTGTAAATAGTTTTGAAGACAAGCACATTTCTGCTGTTATGAATGATGGACTCACACAGCCTCAGTACCTGAGATCCCAGGCAAGGCTGATGCATAGAATAGGCTATGTAGGCACAGTACTGATTTGTATGAGGATCAAGATCCCATTTTCTTGGGATCTTGGTTTTAAATGAAAATGGGACATTGTCTCCTTTTTTTTTTTTTTTTTTTTTTTTTTTTTTTTTTTTTTTTTTTTTTTTTTTTTTTTTTTTTTTTTAAATCCATGCAGTAACTGTTTCTTCATATTACTATTTATATAGACAGTAACTTAAGGATCACAATACTTTCATAAGCATAGCTTTAAGGGGTGTTTTAATAATGGGATTTTTTTTCTGATATGTTGAGGGTATGTGGCCAGGGTACATAGACACATGTTTGGGCAATAAGCAGGAAAATACTTAATTTTCTACGGTCTGATAGAATAGCTCTACTCACATGAGTTAAGCATATGTCATGTATAAATTAATGCCTTGAATAATTTTAAAATACAGTGCAATGCAACTAATGGTAAGAAAATACCTAGTATCAAA